GTGCCTTTCAACCTATGAAAACTTTCTAAATCACATTTTTACACTCAAAGCATTAAGGGGATTGTAACGATTACTTAAAACTCAACACAAACTCTGGAAAAGCTTACATTTGCCAGTTGTGAGGCTTTTCTGTAACTGACTGCAGACATTATCAGTGTGTGTGCGTGTGTGTGTGTGTGTGTATCTATTTATTATGAGTGAGCTCTCTTGTAATCTTCTCTATTATTGCAGTCATCACCCATCACCTGAAGCTGCACTGCCAATCCCCTACCCAGCCTATTTACTCTGTTTGTAATGTCTGTTATATAATGTCTCTCTCACTACAACTGATGCTACAAGTGGATGCTTCATAAGGCAAGGATTTCTCTTTCTTTTGCTTACTGATGGATCCCAAATGTGTAGCATTGTGCTGGTTTGGAGTAGTCATGTAATAAATAATGATTGAATAAATAATGATTGAATGTGTGTCCTTACATGTTTGTTCATATATAAAACAACTTTCAGGTGTAAAACAAACAAGATACATTCAAACAGCATCCAGAGTCTACTCATATCTTATCATCTCACATCTCTAAACTGGTCCAGACTAAATTCTTTCACAGATTGCTGACTGTCTCCCCAATGAGGAAGCTTCACAAGAGCCTGTTTTGTTCATGTTTCTTCCTTACTGTTAGAGAATGTGAGCCATGTAGAAAACGCATGATAAATATCACACATAGTATGTGGCAAGTATACATTATGACTAAACTTACCTAAAAATAGCAGCTTTGCTAACTCTTTATAACATGAGGAAGCTATATAGTCAAATTGTAAATATAGGGTATGGATGAATAAGGCAGGCAGTGTTCATTATATTTGGTGTCAGCAATTCAAGAAATAATGGAAGCAACAATTATTTTGAGTTTTTTCTTGTAGATACCAAAAGGCATCTTATTAAGCACCTTTGTTCTGACACTCATTCACTCTGTTCTGTGCTCAGCATTCTTTTGCAGACCTATAAAGGTGTTGAACAATTTTTTTCCTAGTATAGGAAATCTTGTCTGTGACACAGCTGCAAGCTGACAACAATGGTGGCATTTACTACATACTTCTGAAAACAGTGAAAATTGTCGGTTCTCAGTATGTTGTTAGATAATCAATATGACAGAAGGTGATGAGGAATGTCATACTAATAAATTCCGGTTTTTATTACACTGTCAGTATATATTCAAACAAAGATTAAGGTTGAAATACATGCTGATGCTATGAGAACCACTAATGTAGCTCATTGGCTCAGCCAGTGAGTCAGTCTAGAGAGCCATCTTCCATCATAGCAAATGGAAATGCTTTTAGTTAGAAAGCGAAAAAAAAAGTATTTCTTGTTCATTATTTGCTTTTTAAGAACATGGTGTTTTTTGATGCTGTAAAGGACTTCATGTTATTTTGCTAAATTTGAAATTCTCCATGTAAAACCTGGGGAAGTTCATGGTTTGAGGGTCCCTCACTCATGTGCTTGCAGTTGCCAAGACAATTCAGGCTAACAGCACTACAACAAGGTTGATTTTTTTAAAAGAGAAAATTGGGGGGAAAGTAGTATTTTTTTTTAAAGATTTATTTATTTGTGCATACAGAACTGGGTTATAGGCCAGAGGCTCAGGGGCGGCGAGAGGCTTCACCAGAGACAGAGTGGGGAACAGAACAGGCAGATCGACGAAGTACACTGCTGAGGGGAGCAGCGGGCGGGTCAGGAGAGGTCTGCCACGCCATGTGGTCACCTCCAGGGCAGGCGGGAATCGAACTCATGCTAAGTGGCTTTAGCTTCTCAGTGCTCTGCTTTAACCCATTGCGCCACCAGAGAGGGCCAAAAGTAGTATTTTTAAGGCCACAAATGGCCAGCCCTCCTACCCCAGGGAGCGGCTGTGTGGCTAGTAAGTCCAAAACTGAAAGTTGCTTGTACAACAAGACACTGACCATTTGACTCTGAGAGCCCAGAGCCAGTGGCACAGGAGCCAACTCCAGCTGCCGGAGGTGGTCACAGGTGGTGTTGCTGAGGCACCTGGCATCTGAAGGCCAGGCTGGGCAGTGCTGGCAGCAGCAACATGCATAGTACTGGACACATGGGAGGTGGGGCAGTGGTCAGATGGTGAACAATTCTTAGAGGTAGCAGAGCACAGGTAACAGAAGACATCTCTTTTAGAGTCACTGAAGGGGACAAGGCACCAGTGTACCAGCTCGTTCAGAGTTGCCAGGCATAGGACCGGCAGCATCAGTTAGCAGGTGATATGGAAGGGCAGAGGCAGGAGCAGCAGTCACACAGTAGAGATCACAGCCAAGTGGAGATCAAGGCCTCCTTGGTGGCACAAGGGATTAACTCTCAGTACTATGAAGCTAGCCATAGCCACTGCTGCACTGAGTTTGATCCCTGGCCAGGGAGCTGACCCACATGGTGCAGCAGACCTCTCCTGACTCTCCTGCTGCTCCCCTCAGCAGTGTACTTCAATCTCTCTCCTGTTCTGCTCCGCACTCTGTCTCTGATGAATTCTCTCACTCCGTCCTCCCCTGCACCTCTGACCTACAACCCAGCTCTTGTATGCACAAATAAATCTTTTTTTTTTAATTTATTTATTTAGGCTTACAGAACTGGGGTACAGGCCACAGGTGCGTCGGTGGTGAGAGGCTTCCCCAGAGACAGAGAGGCTTCCCCAGAGACAGGAGCAGAACTGGTAGATCAACAAAGTACACTTTTGAGGGGAGCAGCAGGCAAGACAGTAGAGGCCTGACATGCCATGTGGGTCACCTCTGGAGCCGGGGATCAAACTCGCACTGAGGCAGCTGTGGCCAGCTTGCAGTGCTGCATCCTAAGCCATTGTGCCACCAAAGTGGAGATCAGATACATGGCTCTCAACAAGTCTCTCAGGAGATTCAGACAAAAGTAAGAGATCTGATGGGAAGATCTTGGAAGTTTGCATTGAAGATCTTCCCAGGAGAGAGTCTGGATGAGTCTGTAGAGCCATTTGAGACCTTGGCTTATGTCCCCTTCTGGAAGCCTATTTTTCCAGTCTAATTAATCTTTTAACAAACTGATTCTGTTTCCAAGACTTGATGTGCATCTATGCAAACTCTGTCCTGATTGGTCTCTTTACCAAGCCCAGCTGGTTTCAAAAGTGGAAACCCCATAAGCAATTCCAACCTCCCCTAGGCTGGTTCTTCCCGTCCCACTGAGGTGTGCAGCCCAGGGGGCACAGTGGTGCCAGGACACTCATCACACCCACTGCTGAGGAAGCTTCAGTGGGGCCGGATGTGGTGGTGTCTCAAGAGCCTGTGAGGCCTGGACATCTGTTGTGCATGGTTACTAAAGGGTGTCCCCTGCAGGGGAGTGGTCTTGTTCTGCTGCCTCCATCCCAGAGCCATGGGGGAGGAGAGAGTATTCCTCTTACTGTCTCCCTTCACATAATTTTAATTTTTTATAGTCTCCCTTCACATAATTTTTATTTTTTTTATCAGTTTTATTTCCTGGGAAAATCATCCTATTTCAAAAATTAGAAGGAAATGATGAAAATGCTGATTTCAGCACGCATGTTTTGATGCATCACCAAAGTGTTTAGATATGATTTCTGTTTTTCTCAAAGTAATTGAAATTAGTATGAAAAGTTTCTGATATCAAGAAATCTACTAGATCCTAATCATAGTATAGTTCATTAGATCATATTGTGAACATCAAGGTCATAAGATCATTACTACTATTCTAATCATAAATAGATATTATCGAAGACGGTTCAAGCACAGATTGAAATCTGCCAATTCTGGATGTTGCTGTTTTGGATAACATCACTTACTTTCACATTCATGTATGTGAAGTGGACTCATTAAAAAAGGATTTTATTAAAGCCTCATTGACTCATAAAACCAAACTGATAAAGTTAAAATAATTTTGCTTATTTAAAATTTCAAAACATTAGCCTGTGTCAACCACTCTGTTTTTAGCATGGTACAACTGTCAACTCATTTCATCCTCACCAAAATCCTTATTTTCCTTTATGAATAAGGAACTAGAGTTTGGTGAAGCATCTGAGCTCACACAGGTAGGAGGTGCAGAACCAGGACCCTAATCCAGGAGGTCACTTCCCAGCCTGGTTTCTTCCGTGCACTGTTCTTTCAGTGGCACTTGATGTGACTTCCTGTGTATTTTGCCTGCTTCCACCTCCATGTTACCCATGCATTTGTAACACTAATTTCTGCTTGTGCATCTCTTCTGCCTCACTGTTTCTTAATTCTTGGCTAAAGCCAAGTCAGGAATCCAGATATCCACTGTACTATCTATTATAACTGAATTAAGTTTTTATTCTCCTCCACATCTGCTAAAAGGATGATTTGTGATTGAACCCATAAGTATTTGCTATGAATGATGTGTATTTTCTGCTGTTATAAAGTGGTATACAGAATTAAATTAATAGTCCAAATATTGACAAAACAAATCCTTGAGAATTAAAAAGACCTTTTCACATACCTGCCTGTGAATTTGGCACATCTAATATTTTGGGCTATGTATAAGGTTATTATGCTTTTGTATGAGGCATATAAATTCTCAGCTATAACTCATAAGAGAGTTTAAAAACTATATAGAAATAAAAAATTTTCAGTTTTCTCTATGTGTAGATTTCTGATCACTTAGTGTCACACAGGGTGATCTGATTAAATTAAATTTTATTTAATCAGATATTGTTGTTAACAAATTTGAAGATAAAATGAAAGATTCTTCTATGGAAAGTTTAGTTATGCTAATTTTGGACAAGAAAACACAAAATTAAAATATGAGCCCATTTTATGCACTAAATAGAGCTCATGATTTTCAGAATGCCTTAAATAAGTATTTAACATTTTAAAAAAATAGATGCTTAGTGATCAAAGGGACAAAATACCTATATCTTTCTTCAGGATTTTTTTCCTGAATAAAACGCTAAAATTTATTATGCCCATATGTTCTTGTTACTGTTATTGTAAAATTTTATTTTTTCTTTCAGATGACAGAAATGACAATCAAGAGAGTAGCTTTCGAGATTTACTAAAGGAGCTGCCTGAAACCCACTACTGTCTCCTCAAGTACCTGTGCCAGTTCTTGGCTAAAGTAGCGGAGCACCACGTGCAGAATCGCATGAATGTTGACAATCTTGCCACTGTGTTTGGGCCAAATTGCTTTCAGTAAGTGATTGGGATTTTACTGTTAATATCATCACGTAGCCCTTGTCCTTGACCACTGCCTGGAGTTACTGTTGGGCAGAAGCATATTTCAGATTGAAGAGTCAATCAGTTCATGGTGGAGATGTTCTGTCTTGCTATTGGTTATTTTGCCTTATTCTTCATCCCAGTTTTAAAAGTAAGAAGGCATGTACCTTCTTATCAAATTGTAATTTGAAATATTTCAAACAATCTTATGTGAAATTACAGAAAATAAATTTTCCTTTCACTAAAATGGGCTAAGTGCCCATTTTTAAAAAATAAAAATCCAATCTGAAGTTTAACAGAAAGGCAAGAATATGATACTCTTAATAGTGATAAAGTTTAAATCATCATTAGTAGATAAACTATAAGCAAATATGTCAACAACAATTGCAACTTTAGCTACATTTATTTTCTAGAAAGATTAGAAATAAAATAGTCTTTTTTTGTGGGTGATATATCAGCAACTACTAGAACTTTTGTAAAGTTTAATATTTTATTTTCTCTGTTACTCCTTAAAATTCTTTAACTGTTTATATGTAGAACATGATTTTGTAACCCAGGGACTTAACTTTTAACTCTGCTGCTAATTCCCACTGATATCAAACACATTACTTTTAGTTGAAAGGAGTAAGGGAAGAACACATACTATAAAAGCTTGCAGAAATTCTCAAAAGTTTTTTTTTTTTTCTGCTTTTTCCATTCCATTAATCAACAAGACTCATTCAGCTGCCAGAAATTATAGTAATATTACAAACTTCAGAACCTCTGCCTAAATATAAACTCTGGCTTACATCATAGTGAATACACAGTTCTGGAACATTAGCCACCTACTGTGGAGAACAGTTCCACCTTAATAACTACACACATTGGAACCTTACAGATTCTTATTTTAAATAATACCATCTTGTATCATGAGACATGATAGGATCACATGAATATAGATCTCAAAATTCAGTATCCCCATTTTTTTAATCTTAGGATCTGTCTTTGTTCTTTACTTGTTTAACTTCTTGGAAGAAAAGAGGGACAAATAGAAAACTGATCAGAAATATTAAAATTGGATTGAAAAGGGAGTGAAATGAATATGCATTTAGAATGTTTATTTAATAGTACACAGTGCAATACTTCATTCTGACTTGTTAAACTAGGCTTGATCTGGAATTTCTAGAAACCTGCTTCAATTACTCAATCCAAATGCCAAACAAGTAATTAGTTCTTATTGTAGCCACTACTAGTTAGTTTAGCTTAATTATTTTTATCGTGGTAAAATACATATAAAATTAACAGCTTTGAACTTTTTTTTTTTAAAAAAGATTTTTTTATTTGTTCATACAGAACTGGGGTACAGGCTAGAGGCTCAGGGGCGGCGAGAGGATTCACCAGAGACAGAGTGGGGAGCAGAACAGGCAGATCGACGAAGTACACTGCTGAGGGGAGCAGCGGGCGGGTCAGGAGAGGTCTGCCGCGCCATGTGGTCACCTCCGGGGCAGGCGGGAATTGAACTCATACTGAAGTGGCTTTAGCTTCTCAGTGCAGTGCTTTAACCCGCTGCGCCACCAGGGAGGACCTGAACATTTTTAAGTATAGTTAAATGTCATTAAGTACATTCATATTACTGTGTATTTCTAACAAGCTGAAATTCTAATGAAATGTTAATTTTTAAAAGAATATAAAATTTTAGATAGAAAATTGTTGGCTATGCAATGCATAGTCATACAAAATGGAAAAATAAAAACACCAATGATACATTTGACTCTAGAACAATTAAAATTAACTCTTGAGCAAAGCAATTCCCCTATGCAGTGGAAAAGTTACTTGTAAATCCTAGTCAGCATTCTATATACAGAAGAGGTACCTCATTTGTGAACTCAAAAGAGTTGGTTGAATGCAAAGCCCACAGATAGAAAACAACAACAAAACATGTATAAGTGGACTTGAGCAATTCGGACTTTTTTTTGTTCACAGATCAACTTGATATAAACTCTTAGTGTTATGAATATTGGGCTTCTTAGACAATTACCAGGTTTTCAACATCTCTTTCCAGTTTCAAGTTTGTTAATTAGATGATTGAATAATGTTGTTGTTGTACAATGAAGAATATAGAGCTATATAGAATAAAAATGAAAACTTCTACAGTAACCCTGCATCCCAACTTCTCCTAGAGATAAGATCAATAGGTATATATTTGTCTGTCCTTCCTTCTGAACAGTCAATCTGTTTTTAAATTTCATGGGATCATAGAGCATATATTGTAAATTTTGATAGTTTTTCTGGTAGCAGTGAAACTTTGTTAGTTTGTTTATATCTCTCATTCTTTTTAACTAGTGAATACTGTGAATTTGTCTTGACTTATGAATTACCCTTTAATCATGAGCAGAAGTTTTCATCTTTTTTATGTTAAAAAGGAGTTGCAGCAAATATCCTGAGTGTGATTGTGTGCATCTGTGATAGATATATTTGAATAGAGAACCTAGATGAAAATGGCTTGACTGAGAGGTTTATACATTTCAAAATTAACATATGGTAGCTTTCAGAGGGCTGTTAACAGTTTTCCATTGCCCCCCCATTTCCCTTTTTTTGCCGTGTTTTATAAAATAATATAAAACTTTTTGACCTAGTGGACAAATACAATACCTACTTGTAAAATTAAGTATAGTTTTAGATTTTAATGGGGAGGCATTACTATTTGTAGCTCTCTGTATTCCTTCTTCATAGCTTGTGCTTGTTCTGAATTTTAGTTTTTGGCTATTGCTTTGAAGGCATTCTTTCAGTCGTCTAGAAAGTAATCTTTTGAAGTGTTGTCCTTGTATGTATTTACCTTTTAGCTTTATAATGTTTTGTAATACTAGTTTCTATAATATTTAAATGTTTACTTAAATGTGTCAATTCTTTGTACTTTTGGGTGTTTATATCTTCCTTGATATTCTAAATAATATTTCTTGCTTAATATCACTTACATATTATAATGTAAATATTCTTTTGTTATCTTTACAAGTTTTTAATGGTAGGATTTTTACTTTATCTCTGTTTTCGTATATGTTGTATATGGAATCAGTTTAATTTTTCCTCAGATAACTAATTGTTGCCAAACTATTCACTGAGAATTAGCAGTGGTGTCGCTCTATGATATATTAATTTCCCAAACATATAAGTTTGATAATTTGTAATGGCTCTGTCCTGTCACTCTTCATTTTCCTATTTCACTTTTCCTTTAAGGGAATTTTGGAATCCCTGTAATGTTTTCTCATTGTACTTTGATTTTGTTTCCCTGATAACTAATGGCACTGATCATCTGTTCATGTGCTTATCAGCCACTTGTGTATCTCTGGAGAAATACTTGTTCAGATCCTCTGACCATATTTGATTGGGTGATTTGTCTTTATTATTTAGTTGAAAAATAATCACATTATATAATTTTTAGTTTAAGTCTGTTCTAGACATGAGATTTGCAAATATTTTTTCACATTCCGATGAGTCACTTTCCATTTTGTGTCCTTTCAAGCACAAAAGTTTTTAAATTTTTTTGCGTAGTGTAAGAGAAAGAAGCCAACTTCATTCTTTTGTGTATGGATGTATATTTGTGTAGTATCATTTGTTGAAAAGATTATTTTTCCCTTTTTGAAAGTCAGTTGAAAACATTTTTTTTTCTCTTTTTGAAAGTCAGTTGACCATAGTTGTTAGGGACTATCTTAGGGTTATTATTTTTTTTTTAAGATTTATTTATTTATGCATGCAGAACTCGAGTACAGGCCAGAGGTGGGGGCAGTGAGATGATTCATCAGAGACAGAGTGGGGAGTAGAACAAGCAGATCAAGTGAAACTGCTGAGGGGAGCAGTGGGTGGGTCAGGAGAGGTCTGCTGAGCCATATGGATTCTTAATGTTATTCCATCGATCTGTATATAAATTCTTATGCCAGCAGTACACTGTCTTGGTTAGTGTAGTATTTTCGTATATTTTTAAATCAGGAAATGTCAGTGTTCCAACCTTATTCTTCCTTTTCAGGATCATTGAAGCTGTTTTTGTTCACTTGCATTTCAACAGGAATATTAAAGTCAGTTTGTAAATGTCTGCAAAAATAGCTAGCTGGTGTTTTTAATGAAATTCTGACGATTCTGTAGGTCAGTTTGGAAAGTAATGCTATTTTAATAGTGTTAATTTTTTAATTTAATCCAGCAAATCCAATTCTATCCAAGTATTTATGTCTAATTTCTTTCAACAGTATTTTAGCTTTCAAAACACAAATTTTATACTTTTTTCTGTATATCTATTCTTAAATAATCTTTTTGTGCTATATTCTAAATATAATGTTTTCTTAATTTTATTGTCCATGGCTGCTGCTAACATAGTAGTAATTTGCATTTGCTTTTTTTTTTTTTTTTTTTAAAGATATATTTATTTGTACATACAGAACTGGGGTACAGGCCAGAGACTCAGGGGCAGTGAGAGACTTCACCAGAGACAGAGTGGGGAGCAGAACAGGCAGATCAACGAAATACACTGCTGAGGGGAGCAGCGGGCGGGTCAGGAGAGGTCTGCCACGCCATGTGGTCTCCTCCGGGGCAGGCGGGGATCGAACTGGTGCGGAAGTGGCTTTAGCTTCTCAGTGCAGTGCTTTAACCCGCTGCGCCACCAGGGAGGGCCTGCATTTGCTTTTTTAATGAATGAAGTTGAGCATCTTTATGATGAAGACTATTTGCTTTTCTCTTAATATGTTTGTTAGTGCCTTTTTTCCATTTTCCGACAGGCTTTTTTCTTTTTTTGTTGAATATTTATTTTTAGCTTCCTTCCCCCCTAGTGAACACATCCAAAACTCTTATTTTTCCTCATTTTGTCACATCACCCTCAATATTCCTTTATCACTTGCTGTCATGAGTTGGAATATGAATTTTGGACTTGAATGACAAGGCCTTACATGTGCGTTTCTATTCAAGATGTATTTTTGCTTCCAGGCATCATAAAAAAGATTTTGATATTGTTT